GATCGGTTAATTTTTCCAGCGAGATATTTCGGTATTACGGATTGCTGGTATATCTCTGGTTGGCTTCGTTATAATGCAGCGCAAGATCAAGTGTTGCGTCGTGGCCATGAAACTTCGATTTAGAAAACGCTAATCTTTTGAAAGCGACGACTTCTGCACCAGAGATATACCACGATCGGGATATCGCGAGCTGTTCAACTGTAATCGCGGTGCACACATCGTCGACGTAACGATTACGCGAGCCGCGCACGAGGATTAAATTCCATTCGGTGTTTATCGCGTTGATCGCAAGAGCAGCTCGAGGGCTTATGTCTATTTTAAAGACGAGCGCATTATTTCTCCGCGTTCGAAAACAAAAGCGGCGGGCCGCTATGTTGCCGGCCCCAAGGCCGCGCTCGTGAAGGTTCCAACATTCCGGGGGTCGCGTAATCGATCACGATTTCTCGATTACGGTGGTTGAACGGTTCGCAACCGGCGATGTTGGACGAAGCATGTTGCGCGAACTGTCCCGAAATAATCGGGCGAAATGATCGGGCACATCTTTGTCCAAGGCCGGGAACGGCGAACGATCGAAAAGCTGCGGTCGCGACCGGGGCTGCGTGGACCGGAAAGAGGAAGCCTCACCGGCGAGAGGGATCGTGGAAGAGGCGGCCGCTGGATGTGGATCGAACTCGATCGATTCGATCCGGCGAACGCAGCCCGAGCACGGTGTTCGAATGCCGCTTGAATGCGTTCGACACTTGCACAACACTCACGAAAATAGCACGACGAAGAGCTGACACGGTGACGCTGCCGCGCAGAAAGAGGAAAGAGCGAGGCGGAAAGAGACTCAGGGAAATGATGGTCTCACCTAACAGCGAAGAAACGTTCGGCTTTCTAGGAGAAAACGGGTTCTCTCGACGGGATCGAGGCGACCGGTGCCAAGCGATGATCACACTCTAAGCGCGATCGATCGATCGGCCACTGGATATATCGTTCACCACTTTGCGCTCGGAATCCCCGAATAAATCCCCCGAGGCGGCGAGGAAGCCAGCCGGCGGCTATCTCGAGACTGCTACCAATGCCAGCCGCAACGCGTCCCGACACCCTCCACGCTTCTCTTCTGCCTCTCTTCTTCTTCTTCTCTTTCTTCTTCTTCGTCTTCTTCATTGCCGTCGATGTCGTCTTCTTTCCTTTCTTCGTTTCTTTCACCGCCGTGCGACGACCGTCGTCGCGACGCGCCGCGTCGTCGGCCAACGGCGATCTATGTTTTGTTCGCCGGTTATCAAGTTCGCCACCGGAAGAACGCACCTGTTGTTAAACCTTCGAGTTTTGCTAGACTGCCTGGTTTTTGCGAAGATCAACCGGATTCGAAGACCTCGACGAATCTCTTCTGTTTTCCACTTTCTTGGATCGCGAGGTCGCAACCCTTGGAACGAACGCCGATCACGACTTTCAAGTTGCCATATGGATAGATCCATTCAAGAATTTATCAATTTTTCCTTACGTAGCGAAGCATTTATTATTGCATTATTTTGGAAACTTCACATATACGTATTACGATGTACTCTGGAATGAGATTTAAGCCTTTACCGTGACGACTCTTAGTTTTCATGGAGATTTATGGCAGTAAAACGTTAAGTATTTAATTCTTTCAAGTCGGAAAAATGTTCTGCTTTCTTGTCGTTAATATTTAACATTAAACCCACCGAGCTTGTCAAAGTGATCGATTTCACATTTCTTGTTTTATAGTCATTGAAATTATAAAGACTCTTTCACAGGAAAGGATTGAACACATTTTACAATGCAAGCATACATTATAATAAAAATGGCGAGGTCGGTTTAGTGTTAAGCATTCAAGCGAACGTAAGCATATAATAGATATAGATCTACATTTTCGTCTAAGTATTTATTACAATCGAAATAATCACTGTAACTGTTAAGGAAATGGTACTGCAAGTGGTTAATTCGTGGACTTCAAACATTGCCCAGATCAATAGTCATAGCTCGTACAATCTTAAAACAGTTAAGCGTCGAATTTAGTTTTAAAAACTCCTCGCAGTGTGCGGAATTAAAATCAAGCGATGACGTGTATACACGACGAACGCAGGGCGGAACGATCCTATTACACGTTTATGAAAAACGAAGAAAAACTACACTTTTATTTAAGAAAAACTTAACAATTTATTTCTGAAAAGTTATTGTTACTATAAACTTAAAAATTCTCAAATAATAATAAAATACATAAACAAGATAGACACATATAGAAAAAAAGGTATTAAGAATTTTTCAATTGAGTTCGGTGTGATATTTCTCGAAACACTGTATAAAATACTTAGCAGTTCTATTGGTAGTATAAAGGAAATATCCCACCAAATAATATTCTTATTGTATTTTATTAAAATTTCGAGTTTTCATAGTTAATGGTGATTTTATGTTTTTAACGACGAGTAAACACGTCGAACGCACCGTAATAGAGATTTGATTCGACGTTTATACACGAGAAACGCGCTTAACCGGTTAAAACAGTTAGGTATAACGATGTGTATTCATCCAAAGACCACAGATTATAATTGATAAGAAACAATTCTTAAAATCTTACGTGGGCAAAACGTGACTACAAGTGTAAATAAATATATCAAATAAATATAATCAAAGTGAACACAACGTATCTTTCTCATTCGAACAACGCAGTCACAGTAACCTTCGTATAATCGTCCTAAAGGTCCGCAGTCGCGGCCGCGCCAGACTTTAATTGACAGAAGACCGTTACACAATTCTGATTTATCGGCGATAACGATATCCCATCTATTAGAGCCTGATTCTCGATCCGCAATAAATACCGGTTTCCTATCATTGGCGAGATTACTGCCTTTGTGTTCTGATTCGTGTTCGCCGAGACGTCTTTGCACGCGCCAAGGCTTAATCGAATAATCGGAAGTGTCCGATCACGCGAATAACAAGTTTAACATCGTTTAAAAATACTTCGACTGCCGCGCCAGTAATTTGAAAAATTTTATAAAATTAAAATATCCGATTCGATCCGGATTAAAATTGAAAAGTTAAGCTGTACGACATCGATTATATTTTCAACGTTCTCTTACGTTTTGCGGACCCTAATAAAATTCAGAAGATCAGCCTAAAAATGAATTTTCAAATCTGAGCAAATAATTCCATCGCTCGCATACGATTGACGCGGCAGACTAATTGTAAGCGTTAAACCGTGCCATACTTTTCGTAAACAGAATTGCTGTCGAATGACAGCTAACGTCGTTATCGTAGCCGGTGCACAGTGTTCGTTCCATTGCTCTGGCGTGTCTGTCCGCTGAAAGATCAACTCATCTTCGTCAAAATAGCATCGACGAGAATTATTTTTGATTTCAAGCCGCTTCTCCGTCATCGGGTTAACAGAATCAGTAATGCAGTTGATAGAATCGCTCGCGTTTCCAGATTTTATGCATTTCTGACAAAAATAGACGGACGATATTTCAATTTAGTAGAAACATTAAAAAGAATTTATAATTCGTTACTCGGATCGCTGATTCTATACAGTTATTATACAAACGAGTATTTAAAATTTAATACAGTAAAAGTATTGGAAGAATTTTAAGAATTCTGTCGCGTTATTTTCAGTTTATACAAATTAATTTCTTTCCTACCAACAATTCTATTAATCCAGATTACGAAAGGGGGAAATACGATTTAGTTCCTGTGTGTTTCAATTGCTTCAACCAAGCGTCTTCCGAGGCTATGATTACGTTTATTACAGGATATTATAGGATAAGAAAACGTTTGAAAAGGAGTCGGAGGAGGCGGAAATCTCGCCACATGGAGAAATCGTGATCCAGAACGGCGAGGGTCGAGTTATCTTGGTCGTGTGTTCCCGTGCACTTACAATAACGTTCCCAGACGAACGTTAGATCGGTTGTACTTTGGCTGGTTCTAATAATAATCAATGCGTACGCGTCTCCAGGGATTTCTCTGCCAGTCCAACGCCGATATGTACGTTGTGTGTTGCGATCCCTTGTACCGACCATAATTTCTATGGGCGCGCTAGATGCTATTCGCGACTCGTCCTTTTAGCTGTACCCTCGCAGCCGGCTTCTGTCCGGCGCCGATGGTACTTCGACCGATCGTCGGCAGTCTATTTACGTTCTGACTTGGTTTTAATACGCGTATCGCGCGTACTTACTGCTTAAGAGTACTTGTACGACGGACGAAATATACTTCCTCGCGAAACACATTATTCCCCCGTCCCTCCTCCATCCTCGTCTTCTGCGGTACACACGAAGGAACATTTCGCACATTTCAACATAGTAAATCGCTTTCAAATGTATGCGTTTCTCTTTGTGCTCGTCGACCATGGAATGTTTACGGTTCCCTGATAAATGCAGCTAAGACACCGTACGCAGCTTTATTCGGCGAGGAAAATGGCCACCGCCAGTTTGCCGACGGCGTACCGATGGTGTTTGTTGTTCTCTGTCCAGGATGACTGTTCGTCCAAACGGTCCGTTAAAACCGATTCATTAAAGATTCTGCAGCGAAGGTCATAAATGTTGCGTAAAATTTCCAAGGGCGAAATCCATCCGGGCTATCCTCGGGCTAGCAGAAAGTACCGAATCGCGCTCGGTACGTCGTCCACGGGCGATATTAGCCCGGGGTGCATCGTGAAAAAGGATGAGAAAAAGATAGCAACACCGCCGCAACGGACAGCTATAAGTTCATTTTCGTGTTATTAATGCTGAGTGGTCGCGTGTAGGACATTCATACGTAATATCTGACTAATTGAGGCCGACGCGTGTACTTGGCCCGGCTCCAAGTCACTTTGATCGCACAGGAATCGGCCCTATGCGAGAGATATACGCGTACACACGCGTGCGATGCGCGCCCCGCGGATTTGTACACGCGCTAACGTTTCCCGGATGAAACAAATGGACCGATGTCTCCGCGGTTCCCTTTATTCCGCGGTTCTGAATGGCCACTTGTGCGGGAGACAGCGGGAGACAGCGGGAGGTAACGAAGGGTGCGTGCCGTTTTATTCGACGTGTGAACCCGGGCTAATCGATCTGCCGAGACAAAAGTTGGTCGCCGAGAAACGAGCATCGAGTGTCGCGCGAGCGCCCTTTGCGAACCTCTATCGAGGACATGTCACCGTGTGGGAGGGCATATTAGCGTAGCGAACATTTTCATCGGATTTCACGAGAACAGAAGTCGAAGGGAAGGCTGGGATGTGTGTACGCGTTGACAAGTGAGGCACTGTTCATCGGCGTACGTCGATTCGATGGAACCAGCGCCGATTCGTCGATCGATTCACCTCGCGGAGGAATGCTGCTAAGTTTATTTAGGTACGCGTCGGTTGAAATCGTCGTCGATAATACGATATCAAGTTAAATGTTAATCGATCGAGCAGGTTGACCATGATCGTATCGCTACTAATCAGCGCAGTCTGCATCGAAGCTCGCGTCGAATCTCGAGAAAGCAAAGCCGTGGCTGAAGCGAGTCGGGGCGATCCGTTTGCGAGCGAGGATCGAAGTTCTATCGAGCGGAAAAGACATTTAAGTCGGAATAGCAGGATGTCCAGCGAGCATAATTCGAGGCTGCACGGTGTGCACGCGATGGATGGCAGAGTCTCTAGGTCCGGCAACGAAAATTTGGCAAGGAAGATGGCCAAGGATGCTCTCAAGTCGCCGAAAATGCAGGAAACCATGAAGAAGCTGTCCCGGGGAGGGGATCCTAAGCAGAAGAAGCTGTTCGTGTCCGTGAAGGTGCCATCTCCTCCGAAAGGCGGTTCCAGATTGGCGGGAAACTCTAATCAAAGTGGTCGCCAATCGGAGTCAAAGGGCAGAAGAAAGAAGAAGAAAAAAAGGCATGCTTGAAGCAGCTCGAAAGATACTTTTGCACGGTTATTTTTTTTGCAATGTGAAAGTATAAAATCATTTTCGTTCGCAGGCATCATCGACGACACAGGAAGCTGCATCCTGGCTGGCCAAGGAGTGGGTCTGCGAAGGTAGGTAAGCTTCGTTCTGCTTGTTTCTTGACCCCGTTACTCCGTTGTCGCGATGTTTTGACAAGCATCGGATAAATGCTTGAAAAATATTCCTTTGATTAGAGAACGTTAACTAAAGGAAGGGAAGTTAGCGCAAAGAGACTGTCCGGAAACGAGGGCTCGCACAGCAAACGTAACCAGTTAGATAAGTTACGCGCGAAGAACGAACATTCGGTCCCCGCTGACAAAATTACCGCCGTTAAGGCAGACGACACCGATTACGTTGACGTCCCGACGACACTGAACGACAAGCTTACGAAAAACGATGATTCCGCGAAATTGCGCGAGACCGGGGGCATGATCGAGCGCCTCATGAAGACCACTACTGGAAATCCTTCGAAGGAGGGCCCCGGCGACCAAGGAATAGAGTATTCGGATTATTACAGCGAAGACGACGTTCTCCAGGACATAGTGGCGAATAAAATCCCAGTGAACGCGGCCGAAACGACGAACCCGGACAGATTTATACGGCAAACTCTAAACGCTACGTCCTATCGATGCAACAATCAGATCCAGCCCTGTTACCAGGCTGCTCGCAACAGAGATTTCAGCCAGGCCGATTATCCCATCAATTCTTTCAATGGTTTTCAGCAGTATCCCACGGTCGAACGTCGCGCGACGTTGAGCCGGAACACTCGACATCGCGGGACAGACGACTCTTCGCTGTATTATGATCCGAGTTACATGCCCCTGGACGATCGAATCGAGAACTCGCCGTACGCTTTTAGTACCATGGTTCCAGAGTGGGTTCCAGGAACGTCTGGATTGAACGATAACTTCATGGTCCCCGAACTTCGCAATAATTTCGACGCGGCCGATCCGAATTTATCAAGCGAAGAGATGCAACGAGCCGTGGCTGTACCGCCGAATGCCGATCAACTCGATTTCCTGGGTCGCAATAGCAAGCCTCTAGACGTGGTCGATCCTCTAACCGTTTTGCAAAGTCCGAATACCGTCGCGGAGGTTCCTCAATCGTCTCACAAGCTCACTGCTTTCGAATTGCAAAATTTGAACAATTATCATCGCGGGACTAGCCTGCAACGCTTGAACAACATCGACCAGAATGTATATAGTCAGCCTCAGTTGGGAGCGATTCCCACTGTGGATGAAGGTATCGGACATTTCGAGTCCAAAGATTATAATTTCCTTCCGGTGCAAGATTATAATAATAATCCACCTGCGGTGAACGTGCCGAACGCGATGAATCAGCCGCTGGGAAAGGTTCTACAGTCTCTAGGGATTAACGTGCACGTAGACTCGCCTGCTTCGAATAAAGAAAATAGCATCTCTCCAACTTATCGAAACAATGGGATGGACGATGCGAACGATGCGTCGTTGTCCCATTTCGAAACACACGATCGACCAGTGGATCATGATCCAACTAACTGCGACAAGGATGACACTCGGCAAACGAATGACAGAAACGGTAATACTAACTTGCGAGGGAGCCAGCGTAGAAGACACTTGGCTAAGAAAGGATCACAAAGTAGTAACTTGTTCTCGTTACTAGAGGGTGAGGGAAACTCGAACAGTTCCGACACGGTACACGATACCAAAGAAATCGCTAGTCAGGTACTCGACACGATCATGGAAGAGTTACAGGAGCTGAAGCTGGATGGCTCGAAGAACGACAAGAAAGAAGGTAAACGATTTAGATCGATTTAATTATTTCGAAACATAAACGCGAAGCTTCTCGCGCGAGGCTTCGCGGTCTGCAACACGGTTGCCACCCCCAGCCCCCTCCCACGGTATGTGAAACAAGCGATATTTTTAGGCTTACCTTGCCGTTTGTCAGGGTCCTGGTCAACGGCTCAGGCGGGCGTCAAATTGAATATGAAGGTCGTGAATCACAACATAATCGTGACGTTCTCGGACATAGCGTCTCCGCGTTACCACGAAAGCTTGCTCAACGGAACATGGAACGTCTCCGGCCACGCACCGCTCAAGCGTGGCTCACCCTTCACTCTGACTGCCACTGACAACACCACCAACTCCATGGCAGTGTTCATCGGTATGCGATTGTACATTTTCTACACACTTGCTTAACGGTATGGGTCTGAATTTCACTTTGACGGAGGTCGTTACGCTAGGTTTCCGGAGCACTGAAAGCAGCTGTTGTATGTTGATCCATAAAATCTCGTAGCGGACGATGCGTTGATCTAATAATTGACGTTTAGGTGCATGCAAAGTGTGCCAAGGAATCGACACGATAGCAGGTGTCTGGTCGATCGCGCGATCTCCGAAGGACTGCAGGGACTTTCAAGTGGCCACCAGCGTGTTCAACGATATATTCCGGAAATCGAAACTCTCCAGTTTGAAAGAGACTAAGAACTCGAAGAATGCAACGGCAGAGCAGAAAAAGAAACGAAGCTAGCTAGTTTTGTCATCGAAATCCGTATGACGCGGAGGAATTCTCTGAAAACAGACACTGCGTCACCTTACTCGGACGGTAGAACCGATCGACAAATAATTGCTATAATAATTGCTACGATCAGTGTAACGCTTTTTAGTAACGCATGCGCAGGTATAATTTAGACTATTTTGTATCGTGATGTAAGTAGTTTCTAATAAACTCCAACTTTTCATTATGTGATTTTTAATGGTCATTGAAACGACACCGTTCGTCGGGCACAACAGAAATGTTCAGTTTTCCGTTGGCATGCGGCTACATGGACATAGACAAGATTTTTCACGGTTACTCCTCGGAATTGGCTCTTTCTAAACGCTGGCGTATCGTGTCGAGACCCAGCACTAATATCTGTGTGGTGATTAAGTAGAATATATTATAGTAGAATATATAGTAGAATATATATATAGTAGAATATATTTATAGGTCGATCGAAATGTTTACTGTACCTTTATGAGGCCAATTTGTTCCGATTCGTCTGGAGTGTATATCGGAACGGACGAAATCGTTTCACTTTTCTCCAACGCGTACTTCCGTATGTCGAAGTATGCGTACCTATGGTTACATTTGAAGTCGCAATTTTCATTAAATTATGCGCAGCACTGTGAAAAGTTCGCTTTCCTCTTACCCAACTTCTATGCACTCCTTCGACTCGATTTCCTCGGGAACGGGCTCGCAGACAAGAATGAATTTTATTTTCGTATCCGCAATTTCGTTCACCATCTCCCTCAGTATGTTGTCTTGTGACCGGTGTTTTTTCGGGTCCACTCTGAACGCTGCAATTCACAAGTTGTTAGTCCCTTCGTCCATTTTAAAAAGTAACACGGTATAGCTTCATTTTCTGGGATTACTTCTCCGGAAGTTATACGTCAACTTTTGTTCAGGTGGCGTAGGCTTTTTCACCGAGATCGTCTCCATATCGGCTCCGTGATACCCAAGGAAGCAATACTCGACGTAGAGAAGTTGTATTTCGGGATTTTCCGACACAGAACATTTTGGGAACAGAATTACGTTCACGATCTCAATGATTATCGTGTTGTCCTCGATGGACTGTAACAAGCAAACAAATTTAGTTTCAGTAGAACTGAATTGATCCCGAAACATTGAAATTCGTACTTCGCTTTCGTGTATCCCGTTTCCGTTAGTTTTCTGATCGTTCTCTTTTTGGTTTTGTTCTATAATTTCATGTTTAAACATATTACGTTGCTTGTAATCCTACGTTATGAATCGAAAGTTTTGTACTGCTTGTAACTAGAGTGTGAAGATATTTAACATTGTAACGAATAAATGCGTTTCTCTGAGTGTAATTGTTCTTTTCGTGAATTGATATGCGTAATCGCAAAATCTAATAACAAGCAATCTTCAACTCTCGTACGACAAAGCTCGTGTGAGTAGCGATGTCAATATTATTAAGCTGGTTTTACGTAACAAAACTTCGTCGCCGGTACTGCTGCCAGTTCTTTTCCAATAAAACATTGTTCACTTCTTGCATCGAATCATCGGAGTCATCCTTGGCAACTTGCGGCTCGCTCGCGCCGCTCTTCAATATTTTATTGAACTCGCGTACGCTTGTCGTCATAACGGGAATTCGATCCTCCGTCTCGTTCATCAGCGTACCGTTCGAAAGATCCCTAAACAGCAACGTGTCTTTCAATGATAAGAAACATACAACATCGAAATGACGACGCAAAATTACGAATCGACTACACATCGTCCTGCTCAGTCCGGGAATCTCCCTTTTCATCGTCTAGCGTGATAATCTCCTTTTTTGTTACTGCTTGCCTGGGTGAAGAGGTCAAGTGAAACTCTGATCCGCTCTCTTTCATTACGGTCAACGGATCGTCGTCGGTGAAAGGATGTTCATAATGCCGGTCCTGATGTTGCGATCCATCTTTGAATAAAATCATTTCATTCAGTTGGTATACACAGTTCCTAATTCCATTCGGTGTACAAAAAGAAAGTAGGCTGTGTAGCTCGGCAAGCGTCGTCGCTTTTGCAACGTTGAAAATGCTGAATTTTTGTCGAATAATTTTACAAGAAAATTTCAATGTATATGAATTTAAGCCGATTTCCTTTCTATATGCCTAATGCAACAGTAAGGAAAATCTTGTTTTACTTGATGTGCTGATGTAAGAAGACATATTCTTGAACATCGCATCTCCGGTATTGTCAAACGTGAAATCGTTCTGCAACTGTAGGGGCGGCGTAGTATGAATCTTCGTGGGTGATTGATAAACTGGAGATAGCGATGTGCGCATCGGTGGGGACTGGCTTGGTGGCATCGGTGACCCGGGATCAGGATGCATCGGTAAATTGAGCTTTTTCTTGAACGTCTCGACATGCTCGACGTCGCAGCTCAATCTGACCCACAAAGATAATTGTCCGAAGTTCATGCCTACCGAACAAGGGAACACACTGTGCATTGGTGCTACATAGTGCAGTTTGTTCTGCGGATAGTCTAATATATCCTTGATGCTAAGTTTCCCTGACGCTACAGAATAGCTGGTGCCGTCGTCGCAGTGGACGAGCACATGAAATATCACGAGCTCCGAGAAGACGTAGTTGAAGAAGCAAAAAAGATCAGGGATGCGATAAACTATGGAGAAGTTGAAGTTCAATTCGGGACACTTGAGCGTAGGCGTGCAAGCTGTTTCCTGGTCCCATATGTCCCAGCATATAAACACGGAAACGTTGTTTATGTCGACCTCCCGAAAAAGGATTTCTTTCGCCTGGACGTATTCGATGTAAGAATTATATTTGCAAATAATCATCGCATTTCTATAATACTAACAGATGTTGAAAGTTGAAGGGACGAGACATGGAGTTCCATCAAACCCTGACCATCAGGTATCACCATCGGAAATGGATCGGATACCGAACTGACGTTATCACCGCAATCTCCAGGACAATTGACACTACACATGGACTCCGGAGTGGATACCTCACCGCAGCATCGCGGATGTTCTAAGGCTTTCGTTATTGCTTTCACCTAAATAATCATTTCATTATCTACGTTTCAGTTTTCTAATAGAAAGCTATAATTGTGTCACAGAATGAGTATATTCTTACTGGGATTCCGCACGGACCATTTGTAGCAGGATGCTTGTCGATAAGCTGTTTACACCAATCCAGCTCAGTCATATACTCCTGCAACGTTGCTGCGTCATCCAATCCCTCGTTCTCCACCCCTGAATAACGGTTGTTCATGTCCCTCGATCTGTACGACCCCCTTTTATCCTCATCCAGTAGCTTACTTCAAAAGAATAATCATTTCTGTTTCGTGTAACCATTCTCCCCTTCCTAAATTGCTTATGGAAGACCATTTTTTTTACCGTGGCGAGTGTATTGCGCCGACTCCGTTCTGCCCGTTCTTACTAGGAACTGTAGAATTAACAACGTTGTTCCTAATCGGAGGCACCTGTTCAGTGCCTCTTTTCATGACCATCGGTGGCAAGTCGTGTTGATTATCGCCGTTGCAACAACGATAATCGCAATTGGAGCGAATGTTGCATCCAAGCGAGCTGCTGCAGTTGCAAAGACTATTCTCGACAAATTCTGTAGTTTGTAAACTCCTCTTCGCAGTCGGAAAACATCCTTTTCTCTTCGATTTATTCTGGTGTGACCTGCTGCAACCTCTCGTACAGTATTTCCTCGAACTACAACCAACTCGTGACACTCTGAAGCCTCTACTTTTCCCACTCATGATGTCCGCTCCACTAGTGTGAGACATAGTCTGTTGAAATCTCCCAGGATCGCTTTTTGGAGCTCGAGGGCCCGTCATATTAATGTTATTGTTACTGTCAAGCTGATCGTTTCTTATCGCTGGACGATACAAACTGTTGGCCTCGTCGAGCACTTTGGCCGATAAAGAAAGCTCTTGGAAAACATTAAATAAAAAAGACATCATTTTATCGGTATCGGGTAATTGCCACTTTGTGGGACACGCATGGCTATCGTAATTCTGGTGGTCGGTTTGGGCTCGGAAAGTTGGGATTTCTTCACCGAGTCTTACCGCATCGCTGCAACATAATTAGTCGATAATGTTTGGAATGGATATGGCGGAGGGATTTTTTTAGAAATGTTGTAAATTTCATGTAGACAATAAGTCTTAGACAACTTTGCAGTTTCTGCTATTGTTATTGGTGATATTGCAATGTATTACAACGCAAAGTAACGCTAACACACATGTACTTGTAAAACATTGACAAGGAAACGTTAAGTAAAACGAATCCTTACCTAAATTAACTTCAGGCACGACAGCGTTTTATTACGTAGCCTAATTATTCTAAATCTTATGAAATATAATCTTATTCTATCTCTCACGTTGACATACTAAAATCTCTTAGATACGAATCTGGAAGCTCCTACTTTCTACTACACCTTTGGGAGAAAAGACACCACAGTCAAAGTTCATAACAAAGAATTTAAAAACGGCTGATAGCATTTGTCAGCAGCTAGTGTCGCCGAAGAGCAGCTTTTCAAGGGAGACAACTTGCCTGTGCCTATTCAGGTCCAGGATGTCGTTGCAGTTAACATTGTTGGCCATCTCCTTGTGACCAAATCTTGACGCATCCGTGGGTATAGGGATTTGAGCTTGTTCCAGTAACTCCAGCATTTTCTCCGGAGTCAATGGATTTCTTTCGATATCGTTCTCCACTGTTTCTTTCACGGTATTCATCGTCGATGTCGCTTGCTCTGTTTTATCCGTGGTGACTATTTGAACGACGTATTCTGTTTGCACGTGTTTATCTGCAGATTGGGCAATAGGGTGCTTTACACCCACGTAGATTTTTTCCTGGAGTTGTACATCTTCGGTCAGTTCGCAACACTTAGTGCACAGTGCTATCTGGGTGGAAGAGAATTTTTGCGGTTCTCTATCAAGCGCTGACGAAATCATGTTATCTGCCTGCTCCGCTGGTATCGACGTCGCTCTCAGTGTTTCCTGCTTCTCCGTTTGGCTTTGGAAGGACTGAAACATATTTTATTCTGATTCAAACCTTATGACTCCCCACTGCCTATTAATTAAAAAAAAAAAAAAACTATAACTGACCATTAACTGTACCGTTAAACTGTCTATAGTCTTTTGAAGTTCCTCAAGCTTCGCAAGCAGCTGCGTGTTCGAGGCCTGCAGAGCTATAATGTTAGCCTGCTCGCTATTATAGGCTGACCGCAAACTTTCTTGATCCTGCCGTTGCTCGCTGATCTTTTTCTTCAGTTCTGCGTTCTCGAGCTCGACCTCGCCGTTCTTCGAACTCAATGCGATCAATTCGTTGTTGTGCTGCTGCAGTATCTTTATCTCGTTCATTAGGTCCCTTATCTGCTCATCCTTCTCTCGCAGGGCAAGCTCGCAGTTCTTCACCTTCAACACTTCCTCGTCTAACTCGGTTGACCGCTTCCGTTCTTCCAGGAGTGCTGCCGTTGTCTCCTCGCTGTTCCTAATTGCGTTGTTACAATAATTTCGTATATGCTAGCTCAGTTCATAAGTCCTATAACTCAAAGCTATTATTCACTTAAAGTTAGCATCAAAAAACAACACAACTTAATTTGTTAGGATTGACTTAATAGATTGTTTTATAAGCTACACATCTGATAATCAACTTCTATTGATATTTATTTAATGAAGTGGATGCTTGTTTCATCAGAAATCTTACGAGAAATTACAAAGCGCAGAAAAAGTGGTGTCATTGGGGGCAAGCAAAAGATGTCTATTACAACGGGACCCTGGAAGCTGTACTCGTGAATATCGTGGGAGACGTTGAGCATACTTTGTCGCCTCCTGAAGCATCCTCCTCAGATCGTTGGTTTGCGCGTTCAACGACTCGTTCGTGTGCTCGACGGCTATTAGTTTATCGTTCATCTGCTTCATTTGCCGCCAGCATCTAATGTACTCGACATTCTCCGCTACTTTCTCCCTCTGGTTGCAGACGGTACGGCACGAGAGCTCTTTCTCCAGCTCCTCTATGCGATTCGCCATCTCTTTCTTTTCAATCTCCAGTTCCTGTTCGAGAAGTTGAAACGCTTAACACTTATACGCGTAACTTCTGAATTTTTTTAGGGGAAAAGCTATTTCAATAGTTTATTTGTGTCTATTTCCTTCAATATTACTCACGAGGTAATTACCAGGTGTACAAAAAGATTTCTATGATGAGAGTGCTTAGTTTGAATGTGATGAATTTAAAGTGATCCTTTTTTTAATATCTCGAACTAACAAGGATCCTCAGTCGAAATTTTAAATGCAGGGTTCCATATTTTCTCAAAATTTTAGTTTCTTACGACGAGTGGGTCATGTTGTACTATAACCTCTTTTTGTACACCTAACACAACTAGATTGATCATGGAACCTGGAATTTATTTCGCGCTTCGTTAACGTCGTCATCATTAGCTGTTTGGACGATGCAATGACAGGAGGGTATCTTGGTGCGGCTGCTGTCGCTTTGACTCGTTCTAAAACAAGGATCACGACTCAGTGATCTATCATGATTCNGTTTTATCCGTGGTGACTATTTGAACGACGTATTCTGTTTGCACGTGTTTATCTGCAGATTGGGCAATAGGGTGCTTTACACCCACGTAGATTTTTTCCTGGAGTTGTACATCTTCGGTCAGTTCGCAACACTTAGTGCACAGTGCTATCTGGGTGGAAGAGAATTTTTGCGGTTCTCTATCAAGCGCTGACGAAATCATGTTATCTGCCTGCTCCGCTGGTATCGACGTCGCTCTCAGTGTTTCCTGCTTCTCCGTTTGGCTTTGGAAGGACTGAAACATATTTTATTCTGATTCAAACCTTATGACTCCCCACTGCCTATTAATTAAAAAAAAAAAAAAACTATAACTGACCATTAACTGTACCGTTAAACTGTCTATAGTCTTTTGAAGTTCCTCAAGCTTCGCAAGCAGCTGCGTGTTCGAGGCCTGCAGAGCTATAATGTTAGCCTGCTCGCTATTATAGGCTGACCGCAAACTTTCTTGATCCTGCCGTTGCTCGCTGATCTTTTTCTTCAGTTCTGCGTTCTCGAGCTCGACCTCGCCGTTCTTCGAACTCAATGCGATCAATTCGTTGTTGTGCTGCTGCAGTATCTTTATCTCGTTCATTAGGTCCCTTATCTGCTCATCCTTCTCTCGCAGGGCAAGCTCGCAGTTCTTCACCTTCAACACTTCCTCGTCTAACTCGGTTGACCGCTTCCGTTCTTCCAGGAGTGCTGCCGTTGTCTCCTCGCTGTTCCTAATTGCGTTGTTACAATAATTTCGTATATGCTAGCTCAGTTCATAAGTCCTATAACTCAAAGCTATTATTCACTTAAAGTTAGCATCAAAAAACAACACAACTTAATTTGTTAGGATTGACTTAATAGATTGTTTTATAAGCTACACATCTGATAATCAACTTCTATTGATATTTATTTAATGAAGTGGATGCTTGTTTCATCAGAAATCTTACGAGAAATTACAAAGCGCAGAAAAAGTGGTGTCATTGGGGGCAAGCAAAAGATGTCTATTACAACGGGACCCTGGAAGCTGTACTCGTGAATATCGTGGGAGACGTTGAGCATACTTTGTCGCCTCCTGAAGCATCCTCCTCAGATCGTTGGTTTGCGCGTTCAACGACTCGTTCGTGTGCTCGACGGCTATTAGTTTATCGTTCATCTGCTTCATTTGCCGCCAGCATCTAATGTACTCGACATTCTCCGCTACTTTCTCCCTCTGGTTGCAGACGGTACGGCACGAGAGCTCTTTCTCCAGCTCCTCTATGCGATTCGCCATCTCTTTCTTTTCAATCTCCAGTTCCTGTTCGAGAAGTTGAAACGCTTAACACTTATACGCGTAACTTCTGAATTTTTTTAGGGGAAAAGCTATTTCAATAGTTTATTTGTGTCTATTTCCTTCAATATTACTCACGAGGTAATTACCAGGTGTACAAAAAGATTTCTATGATGAGAGTGCTTAGTTTGAATGTGATGAATTTAAAGTGATCCTTTTTTTAATATCTCGAACTAACAAGGATCCTCAGTCGAAATTTTAAATGCAGGGTTCCATATTTTCTCAAAATTTTAGTTTCTTACGACGAGTGGGTCATGTTGTACTATAACCTCTTTTTGTACACCTAACACAACTAGATTGATCATGGAACCTGGAATTTATTTCGCGCTTCGTTAACGTCGTCATCATTAGCTGTTTGGACGATGCAATGACAGGAGGGTATCTTGGTGCGGCTGCTGTCGCTTTGACTCGTTCTAAAACAAGGATCACGACTCAGTGATCTATCATGATTCGCGCTCTGTGAATCATAGATTGTCTCGGATCGCTTGTAACACAATGCTATGCACTTACGTGCGTGCGGACGACGGCCTCGTTTGGGGATTACGACTTCTTGACGACGTCCTACTGTGTATCGTATGACTCAACAGTTGATTCCTCAGCACTGCGATTTTATCTTTCAACTAAAACATCGATCAGGAGACGCCCATTTTATTTGATTTTTCCGAGCAATCTACCGTAGATCTACAAACTAGCTACAGCGAATAAATCATCTAATGACTTTTTTGTTATTGCTATTTGAGAATAATTGTTCCGGATAATGATATTTTTGACGATGAAATGGTACTCAAGTACCTTAGTATTTTCTAGTTCAAGAGAGATTATTCTATTCTTATCGTCGAAAGTATTCAAACATCCCGGTGTTGCCCTTGGATTGGCGATCACTCTCATCAACTTTGTCGCCAACCGTTTGATCTTGTCCTCTTGACAATTTGACAGTTTCTTCAAACTGGTCACCTCGTCGAGCAGACGCAAATACTTGTCCTCCAGCACGTAACGGTCGAGCTTATAAACCGAGTGCCGTTCCCTGGGGTCTACAATTATTTCATCACTAAATCGAATCTTCAACATTGAAATTTTGAAATGATTTAACGAACGTTATTGTACAGACCTATGCTACTTCTGGAAGTATCCGCGAAGGAACCGTCCTTCACGGGCAAAATGTCTCGATTTGGATCGTCCGCCATGTATTCAAATTCCTACTATTTTCGCGAGATGTTACTGCGAAATTGAATTGCACGGTCAGCTCGGTAAAATCAATAATGATTGCTTGATTTTACAATCACTCTCATAATTTGTCAAAGTTCTGCCATTGAACTTTCAGTCCGCGTACATGTGGATTTAAAATATTTCAGATTTCGAGTTGAATGAACGGTTAGATTGCCATATATGGTAGTCCACGTATCTCGGGCGCGAATGCGCGGTACGATTACACCTCGAACTCGAACCCCATTTCTTTTTCGTTTCGAGAGCGGTTCAAATTTTGGCGGGCTAACCAAGATACCCGGCGGCGAACTTTCAATGTAATGGAAAGCATGATTCCCCCGTACGGTCGGTACTTTACACGGACGGACAGAAATATCCTGATAAAACGCGATATCGGCAAACACCAGAACCACGCCTGGCTGAGAACGAGCACGAGAGACCACGAATGCTATTCGAGGGTTATGCTCGCCAAGGTTCGTTGAACACAGTGATTATCTTGGACGATGATAATTCTCCTCAGGAACTATCTACAGTTTATTCTTTTATCCCTCCTTCTATCAGAATGTCATTTCTCGTAATTTTTCTAAAATAAATAAAACAAAACCGAATAAATTATGAAGTACTCATTTTGGTATTGTAAGCACCAATATTGGCCATTGTAAGCACCATCTATAATTATTTATAGTAAACACAATACAAAGCTACACGTACCTTTCCACGTGATGCAAATATTCTACAAAGTCTATGTATGTATTCGTTTCTCTACTCATGCAACAATTGTCATGTGCAATTTATAAATTATCGTGCATGAAGTATGTAATTGCAATCTCGCGAGCAATTACGAGGCATCTACGAAAGATATGTGCGATAAGAAGTTGCTAGAAAATATATCTGTTGTACACGAAGGTTCATAAAATAGAAATTGTTTTAAGGACGGAAACAAGGAAACTGTGATTTCTAGAGTCAATCATGGATTACGTGTCCCGTTTGTGATGCGTCACCGGGTATATGGGGCAGTGCTTCGATACGCCGGTACAACCTGCACTGCACTAACCTTGGTTTGACATCGCGGAGTGTGCGTGCTAGTGGAAAGGTAAGATGGCGGCGGACGGAGATGTGATTCCTGATCAAGAAAAAGTACGAATAGTTTCGGACTTTATACTACACTCGCCACCGGGCGAATTCAATGAGGTTTTCAATGATGTGAGGGTCTTGTTGAACAACGACAACCTGTTGAAGGAGGGTGCGTCCGGGGCATTTGCTCAATACAACAAGGATCAGCTCACGCCTGTTAAGGTACATCATCGACCTCTCTGGCGATCTTCTACGATTTTTTATGATAGTATCCGCGGTGTTGTCCCGTATTTGTGGTAATCGTAGATCAGGGTATCTCAGGAACGCGCGGGATCAAATTTCAACGTCCAGTACAGTTCCTAATGGGGCGACACGCGTCCGGGATTTCGACAGGTGACGTTGACTTTATAGTGAAATTGGAGCGCGATAATGTTCATCTGGTTGGTGTGATTGTTTACTTAAAGTATCGTCAATTTGGTATGAGGAAGTTCCACCGTGAAAATTGTCGTGATATTTCGATCGAAATCGTATGGCGCTGTAGGGTTAATTTTAGTTACACTTCCTGGTGGTTTTTTCACAGAAAATATTCAAAATCGATTTTTAATTTATTTTCTCGCGATTTTGTTATTGCTTCGTTTTGTTACTTTGAAGCAGAGTGCACCTCGCAGTTGAGTCAGTTTTTCCCAGTTAAGGTTAGACACCGAACTATTACAAGAATATTCTGTGAGCAAATGTTACACGATCACGTAAGAATCTTGCATTATATTCACAAAGTTCTTCTTTGCTTGATTTCAGATTGAAGGCAGCGAGTATCCTGCACTTATAACAGAACACAATGATCTAGGTGCACAAAGGTTTTACGATGCTCGTAGTAAGCAGAGTTTTAAATACGATCATCTTAGGAAGGAGGCGCAAGATTATGAACCTTATGAACCAGATCCTGTAGCCGAACCGTGGAGGTCAGCTCTTCAGGATGAAATAACAACTTACACTCAAAGCCACTATAGACATGGTGCATGTTCAATTTTTGGAAAAAGTCAAGGAGGTATTATTATCTTCTCTCTCTCTAATGTAGAATTTATACTTCTACTTTAATTGAGAACTAAAAATATATTGATGATGTTTCCTTCTGCACAGGTAACATTACACTAACAGCTTGCATAGAAGATCATCAATTTCAACCTAAAAATTTTTGGAACGGTCGTTGGCGTTCTGTATGGACTGTAAGTTTTAGTCCAAGTTCAGGAAATGCAGAATTAAGAGGTAGCCTTAAAGTACAAGTACATTACTATGAAGATGGAAATGTACAGCTGGTCAGTAGCAAAGAAGTAAAAGAAAGCTTACCAATTTCTAACGAAAAGCAGACAGCGAAGGAGTTAATACGTCTTGTCGAGGAATCAGAAAATGACTATCAGACTGCGATTTCGGAAAACTACCAAACAATGTCTGACACAACCTTCAAGGCCTTGCGAAGGCAGTTACCCGTTATGCGAACGAAAATTGACTGGAACAAAATTGTATCGTACAGTATTGGCAAAGAGCTTAAAAGTCAATAGAAATAGATTTTTTTATATAATATTAAGAGAAATAATTAAAAAGCGCATTTTGCTGCATGGGTGAAGTCTGGAGGTGTGATGTGCATGGGAGCAAATGTAACAATGCTATAATAATGTTTGGTTAAAGGTGTTTGACTGGAACTCATGCATGCCACTCAAGGTTCCTCTGGACCCCATACTGTATCTTATTGCAAGATCTCAAGCAATAAAAAAATAACATCTTTACAGTCATATGCTGCTTAACAGAAAAAGGGAAGAGTATTGCTCTATACTATTTTCTTTATTCATTAAGTTCTGTATTAACGACTTCTAATTGCTCAAAACGTACATTTACTACTTCGTAACCTTTTTAAATGAATTTTTTCAGCAAATGTTTTGCCATAACTGATTTCACACACATAGTAGGTTTGATATGCTTCTTTCTGCATTTAAAATGTTGATTTACCCGTTTATCTTCAATCAATGGATCCGTGTTACATTCGTTTGTAAAATTAATAATACTTAATAATATACAAATTTGGGGTAACGGGGATCCTTGGTCTTACTTTTGGTAAGCATTTTAATTAGAATTATATTTAGTCAATCAAACCACGTTAAATCTGTAATTATTAGCAAAAATCAAATATGAATCTGAAACTTGGGAGTGGAATATTGGAATTTATTAATGCAATTAATGGATTCATTCAAAGTTTATCGATTAGATAGTAATCTATTTTGTTAGCATTGAACACACACACACACACAGATACAAAATAGCTACTTTATATTTCCTTGATCTCGTGCAATAATTAACAGAAGCCCTTCTGGTGAGTTGCATTTATTGAATTTATTCATTATAATTACTTATGCGGATTATTGTCTTCTTGATAATTTGGATGAATGCATTATTTTGCTCCGTAATTTCTGTACTATGCAATTTACTACATCATAGCTCGAAGTTGAAGCTTTATACTAAAGAAAAAAAGGTTCAATACCTTTTTTAAATTACATCGATATCGTGGTGTTTACAGTCAAGGTATAGCATAATAAAAGATGTTGCACAGTGGAAAGAAAATAGCTGTCTAACATGTGCATGTTCGGTCAGCCTAATGAAATCATCGAGTTAAAATACTTGAATCAATGGGGGATTAAAATTTCAATTCGTTAGATGCACAATAATACAATCTCTTCTAACACATAAGCCTTGTAACACTTAAAAAGCACAATAACACATCTTGTACATCTTTGAACGAATATTACCATACTGGTTTCGTGCTATGTACAAATATAATAGCATGCTGGGGCCACAGGTGATGTCAAAATATGTAATATCAAACAGAATAGGTATGTCTATCTTCAACTCACAATCCGGTACAGAATACCATTACGTGTTCATACCATTCAGTACACAAAGTATACAAAGGGAAAACTTAATTCTGAACAAATATTGGTGGGCAAGGCCTACTATTTTTGTCTAACTTTATATTTCATAAAGTATAAATTTATACATTTTTGTTAAGATGTATTGTTTTACGATAAGTATGTCTATTATGGCAGATACGTTGCAAAGTTTAATAATATTGAATAAAATAAATGTTAATCATTGCAACTTAATTTCTGTGTTAATCATATTGTAGTTGTATGGGTCATTTGTATCGAGTAATGATGTTGAAAAAGAAAAAGAAGAATCTTTTGGTGCTATCGCTTACCACACATTACACAACCAGACATGTACGCGAAAACGGAAACTAACAAAGTACATAATGCATTGTACATTGTAGAATGTAGCCTATAGCCTGCTGGAGCCTTAATCTGTTCACTTTATGTTGAGGGGGTATTATGTACATATGTTATTTGAATGAATGAATGTGACGAAGCACACTACCATTTGACTTCTCAGACTTTAGGATTCGAAACATGTTTGTAATATTATTCATATTTTGTAAGTTACATCGTAATTCAAAATATTTTATTTAACCATACCATTTGATAACTTTTGGAGAAAAATCTTTGGAGCAGACTATATGCACAATTTAAATATATAAGACTAAAAAAATCGTTTTATTAGTTGTGAAAATAAAGAATTAAAAGAGATGCAGGGATACGATACAAAGAAAAAAAAAATTAGTATACTAAATATTGCAATAATGAAATTTTATATGTAAATATGAACGTGCATATTATTTCCACATTGTAATTTGTGTTACGTATGTAAATTACAAATGAAGCGTTGAAGTTTCGAATCTTATCAAACTTTACAGAAGAATAGTTGCCTATGATAATAAAATTAGGTATTACCTACAATCGAGTGTATCGTAAAATAAGAAACGCATGTCCTTATGTAAAAACTTAAACCAGAATACATTTATCAGTTAAATTATGTATTATTAAATGTTATGATTGATTAAATAAAGTGACACGACACTTTATATTTTGTTTGTCAACTTTTAAAAACTACACGATTCAGCGTAGGAAAGTAATAGATTAAAACCCTTAAAAAAATTTTATCTTTTATTACCTAAGACATATACATATTAATGAATGTAGGTAATACGCTTGCAGAACAATTAAGGTAACAAAAAAGAAAGACTTAAAAAAATGTGTTAATTTTTATTTTTGTAATTTGCATAATGTAAACAGACAATAATGGAGAGCCCATAGAAATCTTTACGTTGTCATGGAAGATGATTCATTTCAGCGTAAAAAGTAAGATAGAAGAAAAGCGTACTCACTCCATATTATTTTCTAACTATTTCTTTGCAATTTATGTCATTAAGTTTATTTTTTCGTTATTGTGCAATAAATTAACGTTAGGGTATACATGTGCTACCGTGCGCGAACGGTACTTGCAGCGCCAAATATGTGGCTTCAAAATGAAAATGCTTACCTTAGTTCGATGCGTTACAAGATTCTGAAATATCATTCCTGTCATGTCAAGTCGAAAATCTATGCGTATAATTGAAAGATAATCGAAAATCCGATCCCACGAATTTTGACATTCACAGCCATATTTGTTTACAATGAGGCCGTTGCTAATGTGCCACGGATCACTGGTCACGTGACATTGTCATGTGATCACTTGCTTGATTGCGGGACGATGTACTCCGAGTAGTGCGTCGATTATCACAGAAGGTAGACCCGGTTAAAAATTGTTCTGATATTAATTCGTAATTACTGGTAAAAAGAGCTGTGATCATTTCTTAACGATGACTCTTATGCCGAGGGAATCAGCGAAGCTGATAGCGAGGATGTCAAAGAATGTTTTTATCGAAGATGAAGGCATCAAAAACCTTGCCTGCACGGTGAATAATTTTTTACTATCTATATAAACATATTATGTTTAACGTACGTCAACAAAATTTATATTACGTTTTTGTCAGTTAAAAAGATCATGAAAAATGTTCATACTTTTTAAAGATTAGTTTAAATAATGAATTTTTTTTACAGATTCTAGAAGGACTTAAGAACAACAAAATAACTGTGAATAATTTTTCTCAATATGAGTTCCATCCTTCTATGGATGATCCAAGAGCTGTCGATTGGATATTTGTTCTGGACACATTGAATTACTCCTTTTGGAGCGAAAAAGACTCTTCAAAATGGTGGACTGTTAATGGTCAGAGCGGATATTTTGCATTGTGTACTGCTATTAAAAGGGCCATAGATGTGAGTCAATGCATTTCTATAATTTTAATGTAATCTAAATTACAATATCTTTTTTGCTGAAGAAATTGGAATACTTTACATTTGTTCATTTTAAGATTAGTATGTTTAAGATATTTTCATGTGTTCCCTAATAGCTTGACATCTACATTTCTCTGAGGGAGCAGAACTTAATGTTGTTTCAGATGTATCTGTTTTCATAGTAGATTCAGATTCTCTTGTTCCTATTGATTCAATCTTTTCCTCCTCACCTACTTCTTTCTTTTGTTTTTTCTTTTTCTTTCTTCTTGCTTTCTTTTTACCACCTTCTTTAATACTAGTAGGTTTCTTCTTTTTCTTCTTTTTCTTCTCACCCTCCACCTCCTCCTTCTTCTTCTTTGCCTTTGTCTTCTTCTTTGCTTCCACTTTTCCTTTTTTAGTAACATCTTTATCTGGATATTTTGCTGCCTGAAATAAAATTGTTATCTGGTTATGCATATTTGTTTTCTCACTTTATCACTTTGGTAGGAGGAATTATAGACTTTACGTTCTTATCTCTTTTCATGCCACCTAGAGTCATAGGTGATGTCACAGTACGATCCTGCAATATAATTTATGATATTAATAGAATGAATAACAACTAAATATGTGTATATGTCTGTACCTCATCATCATCAGTATCTTCTACACAGCAAATGCGTTCTCTGCCACCATAATGTCTTGCAAAATAACATTTCATGTAAATTTTAATATTTTTCAGAAGTTCTGCAAATACAGTATTCATGTATATTAATGTACATCTATTAATGTATATTTACTATGTAATATATACTTTGCATCCTTCTCGTTTCGTTCTCTATTTTCTCATTGTATGCTTCTATGAATTTTCTACGTTGATCCTCTATACATTGCAGCAAAAGTTGTTCCTTCTCCATTTGTTTCTTTTGAAATTCTTGTCTCTCTTGCCACCTTAAATACAGTAATAAATATTAATAATTAAATACCGATTTCTTGTGTTATTCCAATATGTACTTTTTCTCCACTTTCTGGCGTTTCTCCTCTCTTTCTTGGACCAGTCTCATTTCTCTAGTTTTTTTACGTACACGTTCTTTTTTGGTCCATCCTACCAGAACACTAATTATTTTATGCCTTTCATGTTCTATTGCTGCTTTTTGTTTCTGCTGAATTAGTTCAGCTTTTGCTTTGCTCTTGAGAAATTGCAACTGTCTATCTTCTTGCTTTTTTAACTTCAAAGCTATTAATCTTTCTTCTATTTTCTGTTGTTCCTCTTTTTGTTTTTGAAGTTTCAATTTCCGTGCTTGTTCGCGTCTTTTGATACTCGTTCGCATTATTTCCAGTAATTTTTCTCTTTTCCTTAATCTGATAAAATTGAACAATACTGTATTTAAGTAATATGCGTTTACACATTATACAATGTACGTTTCTGGTATATTACCTTTTCTCTTCATTCTGTGCTTGCTTTTGTGCATACAGAATAGCTTTCTCCTCTGTATCCCATTTGGATCTTCTCTTCAACTCCTTTTTTATATTATCACAGTGTATTTTTCGCAAGTACTTTCTATACATATTATAATCACGCAAGGAACACATAGCATCCAAACTCTTTGTAACAAGTCCGGCTTTTATTAGGTGTCTAATATTACGTGGTCTAGAGAAGTATGGGACTAAGTGTTTATCATGAAGCGAATCATAAGTTAGTTCCATCTCATAGCAATATGGATCACTTAAGTTAAAGTCTGCAGCAGGCGCAGGGATCCATAATTCTTTTCCAAGTTTACGACGGGTGAAATTGTATGCTCCTTCTGGTCCAGGGACCATGGGTATCTTTGATTCTAATGGCATTACTTTCCATTTTGGCAAACCGAAATTTGGTATTGCTCCTTTCGGCTTAGGAATCGATTCTGCTAGCTTGTCTAATCCTCTAATTTAAGCATAAAAATTACTTAAAAATAAAATAGATGTTTAACATATAAAAATAATATACATATACATATGTCAAACAAGATAGGTGTAATAATGAATTAAATTAAATTAAATTAAATTAATTATTGGAGTACTCACGTGGGTTTTTTGAGACCAATTATCTCGTTTATATATTTCTTGCATTCTGATTTCATTTTATTGATGAGAGAAGAGTGCTCTCGTATTTATAAACATCAATAACATTCACGATATTATTTTGCATAATGGTTACATTAAGATTTCATACAATTTCATTCAACTTTCGTTCATAGTCTATTCTCTTTTGTTTACAAACCATATGTTTCTAATCAATAGATCAGTTTCCACGTGTATATCTTGCTTCACAATCCAATATTTCATGAGCTCTACGTGGGTATATTACGTTTTATTTTTTAATTTGCTTCGAACAGGAGGGGATACCTATAATCGACCCCAAGTATTATTCTCGCATAACAAGGTCCGAGGCCGAGCAAATATTTCGGGGCGATAATCAAACTAGTTGTATACCGCTTTTGGATGAAAGATTAAAGTCGTTGAGAGATGCTGGAAAGATTTTATTAGCAAAATACCAAGGTATAGGCTCGAAGTCGTTTCCTGTAATCGTTCTACATAATTTAAGGGGATACATACCATGATTAACATGAAAGAAAGATCTTCTTTAAAGATGTAACAGAAATTACTGGGTAATTTGATTTATCTAAAATGATTCAAACTGATACAGTTATTTTGCCTTCTATATTTTTCGTTTTAATAATTTTCTCATAATAAGTATCAAAATGTTCAATTGTTTGAATTTGACAAGGGTATATACTCCCTTAAGCCACGAGAATCTAGTGCAGAACTTTACCGATCTTTGCAAAATCAGTGAACAATTTTCTACAAATATACACTATAAAAGGAGGGTCTAATTAAAATCTTTTTGGGAAAGCTGTGATTCAGACTGTAAAGTTATACACTGGATAATAAAACGCTTTGTAAATATGTGTTTGAGCCTGCTTTTTGGGGGGCTAATTAACAAGCTCAATTCACTAGTCGTTAATGTTAACACACTGGGTGTTTCCAAAGCAAAGAGCTATGTTTTAGGGGTGCATTTTGCTCGGTGTAAACATTTTTTCATGATTGCATTGAGTAGAATGTACGTCCGATGGTTCTTTATGCCAGGAACACTGTGTATTAGTTCAACCTGGTGACAAAGTTTAATTCGATTGTAGGTACTTTTACGGAATGTGTCAAATCGTGTTCGTGTTCAGCCGAACAGTTGATGAAACTCGTTGTGAATGAGTTTGAGTCTTATCAGGATGAGGCGGATTATGAGGGTCACCGAGGTACGTACAATGAACAGGTTGTATTGAAATTTGCGACACACGTTTCACAGACGCCCAGAAATTTTTCATGCGACAAAGGTTCAAATCCCCATTGATATTATCCCTTGAACTTGAATTCAAATGGTGTTTGATTTTAAAATTCTGAAGGTAGCAACTGCTAATTAGGCATGAACTGTGGCAAAGGTGTCTGTAGCGACCTGTGTTGGGTTTAATATGAATTCATGACTCTTTTTTTCTAATAAGAAGCTAACTGACAAATTGATATTTTCTAGTTAGCTTTTATAAAAGAGCTCAAATACTGGTGGGTGACATTTGGGCTTGCTTCAAAGGCACGGGGATGGGCGAGTTCCATGATATAGATTACATCACGATGTTTGCCGATTATCGAATTCCTCAGATTCTTGTGTACTTTGGTGCGATACGTTACAGCAACCCGCTAATGAGCAGGTTGCAGTGTGGTAAGTTGTTCACGATGCCGTTTATCGTCTTTATTATGGTAACGATTATAGTCGTCCAAGTTCCTTCGGAAGTGTGAATCGATGCACTGCCAGACAATCATGATTTAATCCACAGTATTCACACTTAATCCTGTTCCAATTAGAGGTTGAATCGGTCCTAGTTTCAATTCAGACTTGAATAGTCTTAATTTGTGTTAATATGATCCGAACTCGAACCTAACACACTCCTGACATACTGACTAAATTTTTCGCCGGTTCTAGTGATAACAATGTGAAAATCTATGTATAAGTGATAATAATTAATAAGAACCACCTAGCTAGATGGTATAAGGTACAAATATATGTATTTTCAGATGTAGAATTAGAAAATGGCGGAGACGATGAAATAGAGATTCGTGGTTGCTCAATAGAGGCTATCGAGAGGGTGAAGGACGAAATTAGAGCTTTGATCGAGCGTTACCCTAATCTAGAAATGAAAAAGTCCGATGTTAACGCGATATTGATAGACCACTTTTTATGGGACTATAGGCGAGAACACGCTATCGAGGTGGAACATATACCGTTCCACAAAACCAGGTGCATATACTACTGAGATTCTTGTGTTCCTGTAAAGACAGCTCAATCGACTGCGATCTATATCGATGCACGGATGATGATTTTTCATAAGCTTACACGTTTACAGTATACTCACGTCTTTAAGCCTAGGAGAAGATATATTTTTATGGTTGAACAATACTCAAACGCAATACGATCTAGCGATGTATTCCGAAATGTTCGAATAAAACTCGACAATTTTACAAATTCTTCGAATGTTCCTTGGTCCTGACTCCTGTGGGGAAATATTGTAAGCACAGCATAATACGACGAGAGTCTGTTGTGTTTTTAATAATAAACAATATATTTATATATAATATCGATATAGTACAGGATTAGTGTACAGGCAACACAGAAATCGTTAAAAATTTTGATATTCGATTAAAGGACTGTCCCTGTTCACCGAAAAATAACACGTTATATACACATAGATTTCGATATTAATAAATAATAAATAATATACAGGAATACATTATAGTCCCTTTACAAGTTGTCCTTCGAAATGATTTATATAAATTCTTGCTAGTAGAGATTTATATAAATTCACTTGGAGACGTCGAAACATGTATTATTCATATTTTTTTTTATATACATCAACAATTTTCATATACAAGTCGATCAAAAGAGAAGAGAGAAATAGAGTGTGGACAGAATTTCGACTGTGAATTTCAGCTTTACAATGCAGAAATCTTGTCATATCTTCTTTGGCTAATCGCGAGCGGGTATCATTTGGCACGAACGTCACCGCGTTACAGACGCGAAATGATTTTTACCTTTGTTGTCACACTAGGGAAACTAATCCATCGATCGTGGCATTGTTTCGCATAGTTAATTGACTCCGTCTCGAACGGTGTTGCACACGCTTGCGTTCGCAACAAGCGTGCCAATCCGTGTTATACGCTTTCAAAAGCTTCTCGCGGGTTGTCTATAAAACATCAAAGAAAATATGCGAATCCATCCAGATCCTCGACTGGATTTCTTCCGCGTCTTAATTTAATTTCCTCGGCTTATCCATTTCATCAGTAGAGCGTTTACGAATTAATTACGATTCCTGACACGTCTACGGATACACTTTGCTGGACTCGCGAGCAATTCAACTCTTCTTCTGCATCTGTTCCCAGAATATGATGTTCGACTTCAGCTTTCCCGGCAAAATGACTTTCGTGTCGCTGGTCACGGTTTCACACTTCGCCGGGACCACTTCCGTTTGATTTTCTGGTATGTTGGTCTGTTCCATGGTCACATGACTAGCCGGAGGGGAGGTCACTTTGTTGGGAATCTGCCGCAGGCCCTCTCGAAATTGTTTCGAAAGGGATCTGGCCGTCAAACTGTGCATCTGCCTCGGAGTTTCCACTATTTGTATTTCTGGCGTCGATGATCTGTCCTTGTTCACGGTGGTCGTTTTATTTACCTGCAAAGCGAAAACCTGTTTCAAGGGTTTATTCCTTCTACTTTGCCTAAGGAGTGCGGTAAAGAAAAGGGGCATGGCTGTGGCAGAGATAGATACGGTAGGAGCAGTGATCTTGAAAGATTTAATCATTCTATTCAGTTAAATTAACCCTTTGCGGACGAGAGGCGACTCTCGGTCGTCACGGCGTTTCGCGCGGCAGGACGAATGACGAGCGAGAGGCGACAGTCGGTGTTTATGTTAGATTTTATTATCTCTAACATTATTCAACGTACTGTTTTATGAGAAAGTCCCTGAAGTGGTGGCGCAAATTATTTTTCCGTGGACTGGAAATTTGTTTAATCGATCCGTACATTCTCTACAAACATGTAAAAAGGCAGAGAAACGAACAGCCAGTTACACATTTGAACTTTCGCAAAATTTTGATCAACAAATTGCGAGGAGATTTCGTCAACCACGAGATAGATCTTCAAGTTCGATGGCCAACTCTGACGAAATTCGTCTAAACGGAAAACTGCATGTAATTGTTACTGGCACAAAGAAAGATTGCAAAGTTTGTTCCAGTCGAAACAAACCA